TTTTACACTGTATGCCCATAGAGTTTTTATGGACATACATATATATAATATGTTTTTCTTATTTTTATTTATAAATTACACAGTTTGGCTATTAAAAGTTAAAATCTAAGGCACGTTATAATGAATACAATAAACATAGATATTCACAGCATATATAATTATAAATAATTTTTATATATAGCAAGAATAATGTGTTTCGTAATAAGTAGTAAGTGTGCATTTCATTGCATGCATAATGTATAATTAATCCTTATTTAATTTTCGATGAATATCACGAATAAATAATCTTATCATGAGTAAAACAGAATATATCCCAAGAAAAAAATTAATTAACAATTCATTTTAGCTTCGTATCAAACTCTATTCGAAAGAACAGAAACATTAACTAGAATAATGCAACAGTAATAAATGCATATGCAAAAGCATTTTTAATTGTAATTTTGCATGCTACAAGGTAAGCGATTATCATAAAAGTACTTATCATTTGCAATGCATTAATATTTCATTGCGGATGTTCGTTCTGTTAACGTTTAATCACAACAAGTCAGTATAAGAAAATTAAAATTAAACTTTTGTAAAATTGAGATTAAATTTTTGTAAAATTATTTTTGGACTTTAATAATATTAATAAAAGAAACGATTTTTTTCATGACGTCTGTATATTGAAATTTTGATTAAAAAATTAAAAAATTCTTGATTTTAAAAACTTCTATATAAAACTACTTTTTAACAATTTTAGTAAAATAGAAATAATAGAGAGAATTAGATAATAGAGATAAAACAGAATTAGATAGATTATTATAGAGATAATTTATAAAAAAGAGACGGTTATTTCCATGATGACATCATTCTTTCAAGAGGTTAATATCTGAATGCATATGCAATAACATTATTTTAATCGCCATTTTACGGACTGTATATATACGTCGATATAAAACCATTTAATGTTTGCGATGCATTAACATTTCAGTGCAGACATTCGTTTCACCAACATTTATTCACTGGAATATAAGAACAAAGGTATTTTAATCATTTACGTTTATATTACTCCTCTACAATTATAGAATGTAAAATTTTCGAAAAATTTTAATTTATTTATTATAAAATCTTTTTAAAACTATAAAAAATATTGTATCAGACATTTTTAGAGGTATTTTTATAATTTCAATAATATCTACGTTTAGAAAAATAAAAATTAATTTTTTTCAAAGCAATATTTCACTCTTTTTACGTGAACAAGAACACTTATAAAAAATTTGTATTTCTTATTTTGATTTATATTACACATATCCAAAGTTTAAAATTGGAAGAAGGGAGAACAAAGACTCTCTGGCTGATTTTTTTTAATCAAAATCGTACTTTTGAGTTATATAACACATGATTTATGCTGGCACGGACTGATTTTCAGCTCATCATAGTATTATTTACAATTTTAGTTAATTTAAAAATTTTCTTCCCTCAATTATTTCGTATTCTTTTCTACATAAAAATGTTCGACTTATGTTATTAATAAAAGTGTAATATCAACTACAAAGATAGTATTGTAAAATATAGAACTGACTTTTTGTACAAAGAAAGAGAGATTTTTATGAAGTCTATATCATATAAAAAAAAGTTTCTTTTGTAAAGAGAACGAAGGAACGTGAAAAATTACACGAATGAATGCAAAACAAAATACGTTAAACTTCAGTAAAGATGCATATCTTCCATACGTTTGCCAATAGGGTTCATTAACGCTAATTAATTCCGAGCCATTTATTTTGATAGCCAACCTCGTCACGACGAAACAGCACTAGCTTTAATATCGCATTGTTATCGGGCTCGTTTTTGTGACCGTCTCTCTCGGGCTGACTACCGCAACGCTGGTATTTCGTCTCGCGATTTATCAAACGGACGTATGAACGATCACCGACGTCTCTCGCGTTGTCTTCTTGCAGAAGCTTTCAGTAACCAATGCTAATTAACCAGCCGACAACTCCGGACGCTTTGCACTAATGATGAGTATTGAAAAAAATGTCAATTTTTTTATATTCATTCTATTATCTATTATTTCTATAATTAAGGAAATTTTTTAAAACTACAAAATTTTTAAGATTTTCTTTTTTGGCACGTTTTTTTGTCAAGTCACGATTCAAAAATATATTTCCACAATATTTCAATATCTACAAAACTGCTAGAAATAGAGCCACATGATTAAAAAAAAATCAATCCGAGAGAAAAATGCTATTATATTTAAAAGGGAGGGTCACAGATGCGCATAAAATAACTCGGGCACATGGTATTTGGACACAGTCCCAATCAGATGCATGTTGAAACGGACACATAATAATCCCAATCGGACAGAATTCTAAACGGATACATTGAAACAAAAATGTGGAAAATCGAACATTATAACATAACTCAAATCTATTTTTAGTTTTTCTCTTTCTCTCTTTAATTGTATAATATAATAATAATAATAAGTTAATTAGTTTGAAGTTTTTTTAAATACTAATTAGCTAATACATATTATATATTATATACATAATACATATTACACACATGGCAATGTGCAATATTCTTTACTAAAATTTCTTTTTCCCTGTTTTTGAGACTTAAAACTATATTATTATTTCTCGCAACTGCCTCTATAAATACATATAAAAGCCGAGCGTGTTCGCTTAAAGGGTCCAAACCCTAATAAAAAGGCCCGAGGTTTTTTTCCGATCTCAAAAACTTAGTATAGAAATTCCAAAAATGTAGTCATTAAATAATTAAATAATTGCTATCTAAATTTCTTATATCAGAAACCTAGAGAATGTTTGATATCTTTTCTCTACAAAAATCAACCAAATATGTAAAACTTCTCTGCTAAAACAAGCAATATGCAATATTATTCAGAGAAGGAAATCTCCATATATATATTTGCTCCTGGCTACTCTTGATTATTTTATATAATCTTGTGCTCTTCTGCTCTTATGGAGCAACCAGTGAGCGCTAGATATGAATTCGTTAGTTTCGGATTTGGTCGGAATTTCGTGAGATATTATTATTGATGCGTGATAAAAAGATAAATAAGCACATACTAATTTAAATATCTATTCCTTGTTATTCCTCCTTTGTTTGTCTTATTTGTCATACATCAGTATACACATCAGCGGTCGTGTACGTACTTTGATTATAGAAATAAGACTGTTAGTTGCTAATTGTAAGTTCAAACTTGTGTCGTCGCCAAGATGTGTCGCGACACCATCGACTAATTAAGTAATGCGCTAGTTCGCAATAAAACATAGTATAGGCCGAAGCATAGACTTTTGCATGACGCATAACGCATAAAGAATAAAGGGATAAACCAATCAGAGTCCTCCATTTCCATCTCCACTCCTCACTCTGCGAATCTTGCATAATGCATAAAACATAATGCATAAAGTGATGAAAAAACCGTAAAAATGAATTTTTATGCAATATGCGGAGAGATTCTGCATATTTGTGTTCTTGCTCCGACGCCTTCGACGCGTAAATTCTCGACCGTGAGCTTCACCAGGCGGTATTCAACATACCTGCTGTCTGCTGGTACATATTCCATACGTATACGTGTAATAATTTTCAAAACTCATTGCATGCTAGGTTAACTGTTGTCATAGAATTATCGTTTAATTGAGACAATTATATCAGGATTTAAGATTTTTCGGATATCAGATTCGAGCTTCGTTTACACTAGACAACGTGATAGCCACGTACGACAAGCAAAAATCTTGAATCCTGAAATAATTCTCAATTAATTAAACGATAATTTTACGACAACAGTTAATCTAGTATTCAATAAATTTTGGAAACATCAAACAATTATACATATGCAAATATATACCTGGCAGGATGTCTGTTGGATGTCGCCTATAGTGAAGTTCACGATTTGAGCAGTTTTACGCAGAGCACAACAGTAACTGCAGAATACCTTGTGCGATGGCGCGCGTTATGCGCTATGCGTTATGCGTTATGCGTCATGCAAAAGTCTGTGCTAAGGCTTTATTATTCAAACGTCCGTTAAAAAATATCAAATGTTATGATAAAATGCACTTATTATAAAAGAATTTATTTATTAAAATTATAAATAAAAAGATTTTTATATAAGAAAGATAATATTAATTATATGATATAGTTATTATAAATATATAGGTATTTAAATATTACATATAAAATTGATAAAATGATATTTTACTTATATTTTGATAATAAAACCACAATATATGTCAAAAATTATAAATAAAAAACCGAAGTTACAAATTAATGACCGATATACGAGTTTAATGCGCATTATATGTATGTCTGACTAATTCAATTACTTGGTGGACACAAAAGCCATCGACTAAAAAGATAAACAACTCAATAAAAATCAAAGAAATATAGAACGGGCATAGAACCCGCTATACACTTTCCGCAACCGTAATCATAAAACGTATCATAAGAATTAGGCAATCCGAACAAAAAGTTTAGAAATAGTAACCTTATATTTCTAATAATTCTCGACTGTGATTCTTACGATAGGTACACCTTACGATTATGAAAAGTGTACACGACGGTCCTTACTGCCTTTCTAACAATAAGCGAAAAAGCGATTGGCTATCTCGTTGCTTCCTGCCAAGCAAACTTTAATTATATAATATAATAATATATAAACATTTTATTTATTAACGGAAAATTAGATTTTATATAACTGTCAATATGTGTGGTTTTTATTTAAACGTTTTTTAAGTTCGAAATTTACGAATAAATCGTGTTCGAATCATATAGCGATTCAAATTCGAATCGAATCGAATCAGGTAAGATTCAATTCGATTCGTGAATCGAATCGAATCAGGTAGAATTCTGTTCGATTTATGAATCAGGTAAGATTCGATTCGATTCGATTCGATTCGTACAGCTCGCACATCTCTAATTCACATATTGAAATTATGCAAAAAGTGGGGGACCGGCAGTCCATAGGTCTAACTATTTTCTGATCCTGAACTAGTGTACACTTTTAATTTGCACTTAAAGTGAAATGGTATATGTTTGATTTTTAAATTGTAAAAGTGAGAAAGAAAGTTCTAGTGTAATCAAATGAATTAATAGTAAACATATATTATATATCTTATATATTTCTATAGTTAAAGGTATATAATACATGTCGCGTCTATGTACCATCTCTTGCCGTTCAAATGTAAATCAACTTGGAGTCGATACTTATCCACGTGTATACTTCATTGTATATTTAACAGCATATTCTCGCGATAAATATTCGTGCGCTCTGAGGCCACCTAAGATCGGTACATTTGTGAACAATAAGTGAGAGAGAGACGAGCTTCAAAACCGAGCGCAGTGAAACGAATAAGCTACGATTTACATTGAAATATACGAATACGAATTCGATCGTTAATTGCAGCGGTGATTACCTGATGGTTTGTAGACTATCGGTCAATTTTTTCTTTTCTTATTACTTACGTGCAATAAGATTTTCGGATTCATTTTTAATCTTCCGAGCGAACCGATTTTTCAGTATCTTTCCAGTGATACATGGGTCTGTCATGTCCAATGCTATTTTCTCTACCTTAAGATTCCTGCCTAAGCTGCGTTCTGCGTTATTTACTGTGAGTACTGAAAAACTACAGCATACGTAACGTGAATGATAGATTTTCAGTATTTACAGTGAATAACGGAACGCAGCCTTAATTACCGCGGTCATATTGGAATCGTAAGCGAGAAATGACACGTAAAATGTAAATTAATATTATGAATAAGGCTCTTATAAATATAAATTTAAATTTCACATGAATAGGATGCTAATATGAGCCGTGTTATAAGGTGTTTATGCAACTTATAATATAATTGTTAATCCGTATTACTATACATTTGACCTTAACATTCTGTTAACAATATTGTCTTAATTTGACAGACGTTTCGATCTCTTAACGACGGTTATGCTCAGTGTTTTATGTAATTACGCAAATTAATCCGTTATAATCGCTCGCTATCTATTGATTGACCTACGGTAAGATTGCCTAAATAAATAAGTAAATTGCTTAATAATAAAGAGAACTACGGGCAATCCTATCATGGGTCAACCAGCAGATAAGCGAGCGATCATAACGAATTAATTTGCATAATTATAGAAAATTGAGGATGACCGTCGTTAAAAGATCGAAACGTCTATCAAAATAAGACAATATTGTTAATAGAATGTTAAATGTATAGATATACGGATTAATAATATTTTATAAGTTGCATAAACACCTAGCACGGCTCATTAGCTTCCTACCTATGTAAAATTTGACACGTAAAAATTCTTGCATGTCATTTTAAATAAAAAGACTGTAGATAAAATAAAAATAGGATCGTATTAAAAAAACATGTAAAAATGGATAGAAATCCTTTCCTCCCCTGACAATCAGTAAATAATTATAAAAGATACGTAAAGTGAAACCTATTCAGGTAAGAAAAGACACGATTTGACAGTTGTTGAAAAGGGAGTAAAAAATATATATATAGCTTTCAGGTATAAAATTCAAAGACATAACATTACTTTCCATCCATTTTTACGAATTTGATAAGTACGAGAGAAGTCACATTTTCACAATTAAACACAAAATAACGAAATGACATACAAGACAAAATTTCGTTGTCAACACTTTTCACAGCTGTTCTATAATATGCCGATATTATAAGCGGTAAGAATTGATCAATCACTGTCAAGTATTTTCTTCACATTAGACTGTAATTGATCAAGTCTTTCTGCTTACGATATCGGTATACATTCTGTGGAATTCTTACAGTTTACGACTTACCAATATATAACGTATTGTAGAACAGGACTTACTAATTGTTAGTACGATAAAGTTCTAATTCCTACCGCGATATAATGTTGTTAACGCGGAGTTTTTGATTAAATAGTCACAATAGTCTTATAAAATTAAAAAAAACTCATGAAACATTTATCTACATTATACCTGCCGATTTCATAATTATTTCTATAAACATTGTTTGTTGAATATTTATTTTTAATTTTATATATTTTCACTTTAAATAAAAATGAAGGAAAGAGTTGGATTATTTCAAATGATTGTAATTCTTTTTCTATACAGAATAGAAAAAAAATTCTTTGAAGATTTTTCACTTTTGACATGAATATTTAAGAAAAAAAATAGAATAGATTGATATCTGTAAAAAAATTTAATTATTCATGATGATTCTAACGTCCATGAAATTTTTCTTGCGATGGAGCAATATATTAATCCTTGATAATGGCCCTGAGACTTCTTTTACCATTTACATTTTTTTAGAGAAGGGAGCTAGACAGGCAGATTTGTTGATTTTACGAGATGTTACTTTGGACGTTATAGACTCATGTATTTTCACTCGGAAGGTCAAGCCCATTTCGCAATTTATGATTCTTGTTAGAATAATACATTATTACAATTAATATAATTGTAATAATATATTATTACACATTTTACGTATAATGTAACATGAGGATCAGATGAGAATAATTTGATGAATCAGAATAATGAGGAATAATCATATTTATTAAATACATATTGAAATATGCACATACCAAACATACATAAAAGAGAGTTAATAAATAGACTATCCTTTTTTCGAACTACTGACAATTTTTTTATTCAAAGATCTGATTATAGATCATTAGACTATATATTATAGATATAGACATAGATTATTAGACCATAGATCTACAGTGAACTTTGAAAGAATATATCTACATTCAAATCAAACGTTGCTAACGTTTTATTTCGCAATGCTAAATGGTTCTTTCGTTGTGTTCTTATTAAATTAAAATCGATAAATATTAAATAAAAAATTTATCTATAAAATAAAAAAATTAAAAAATTAATAAATAGGTATTAGCATTGCTAGACGTAAAAATAATTAAATTAAATTCTTTGCAATTTTGAAACCGCCTTAATTTTGAAAATTACTTTAAGTTCTTTTTTTAGAACATTAGAGTCTAATTAATTTTTAAAATACGTAAAAATTGTTATCATAAAAAGTTATTATTACAAAAATACATTTTGTAATGTCGATAAATCTTAAGGATTATTATATAATGATGTGAGTAATTTATTTAGAAAAAGACTCGATAAAAATAAATATTTATTAATTTGTACAATAATACGTCAGCTTACTTTTTTAAGCAACATTATGAAACAGTCATGAATACATTAAAACATATTGTATTAAACAAATTATAATAAACAATCGGAAATAAAAAACAAGACAACCGAAGATTCAAACATTAGATTATTTCTCGACAAAAATATGAAATCCGATCTTTTTATTGCCAGCCACATGCATTACATCATCTCATTGTATATTCAGCAGAATTCACAAATTAAACTGAGCACTGAGTTGAAAATATCTTTTACATTTCAATATACCTTTACGCATTTCGGCACATATCACGTCACGAATATTTGATATTAAAAAAAAAAAATGTTACGTGATAAGATTTTGCATGTGACTAGATGGTGCTGCCAGCTGGATTTCAAATCGAGCTAAGTGGAGTGTGAGGTATAGGAAAAAAAAATATTTGAGGTAAAATTTATGACAATTCAATTTAAATACGTATTTGTGAGAAAACTTTCAAAAGTTCGGATTTAGGCTCAGTTTGATAAGTGGCTTCTACTTTATATCTGTTTACGTTGTTACCAGTATTCGCTGTGACACATTTATACAAGCGTTTATTATAATGTAGGTGTATCGAACAGCCAGATATAGTTTCTTGTCATCTCACTATAAGAAATATTCAAAGAAGAAATCATCCCAAGGATAATTATTTCAAAGAACATAATGAAAAAGACGTCAATTTTTCTTGTTCTGATCGCCATCATAATCGGCCTGTTCCAATTGTACCTACCAAATAAGTACAGCAATCTTTATGGCAACGATACAAGAGGATCTAGATTAATGAATGTGCTAAGGCTGGGTAGAGGAATCCTGGACTTCTGGAAACAGAGTCAACGTTACATAACCGAACAAGTACCGGACGTAACACCGAAATTCGGAGAAACGTTTGATTTTATAGTGATTGGAGCTGGTGTAGCCGGCGCGACTATAGCCGCGAGATTGAGCGAGATTCCTCAGGTTAAAGTGCTACTGATCGAAGATGGAACTCACGAAAGCTTATACATGGATATCCCGATAATTAGTGGTTTACTGCAACTGACTAACATCAATCGAAAATATCGAACCAAGCCATCCAATAAATACTGTCTAGGCATGGAAGACAATAGTTGCGCTTACGCAACAGGAAAAATAGCTGGCGGAGGTAGCGTACTGAATTATATGATCGCTACCAGGGGAGGCGCTGAAAATTACGATCGCTGGGCCAAGATGGGAAACGAGGGCTGGGCATATAAAAACATTCTGAAGTATTTTAAAAAGTTGGAAACAATAGATATCCCAGAATTAAAATCGGATATTGCCTATCATGGTACTGATGGACCAGTACATATCACCCAACCAGTATTTCACACGCGGATGGCAGAAGCATTTATGGAAGCTGGTAAGGAGATGGGATATCCATTAATAGATTACAATGGGAAGAACGAAATAGGATTCTCATATCTGCAGGCCACAATCGCAAACGGCACTCGCATGAGCAGCAACAGGGCGTATCTGAATCCTGTGCGTGATCGCAAAAATCTTCGCGTAACTTTAGAGAGCAGGGTGACAAAAATGCTGATAGATTCTAGTACAAAACGAACAATCGGTGCAGAGTTCGTCAAATATGATCAAACTATACGTGTGTTTGCGAACAAAGAAGTGATTCTGTGTGCAGGTGCCATTGGATCACCTCAACTGTTAATGTTATCCGGCATCGGACCAGTGAAACATCTTACCAAATTAGGAATAGACGTCGTTCAAGATGCGCCAGTCGGCGAAAATCTTATGGACCACCCAACCTTCTATGGATTAACGTGGACAATAAACACATCAATAAGTTTACAATTAGTCGAACAAATGAACCCTATTAATCCATATATAACGGATTTTTTATTAGAGCGAACGGGACCGCTGACAATTCCAGGGGGTATTGAGGCCCTCGGTTTTATGAATACAAAATATCCAGAAAAGCATAACGGTCTACCGGACATTGAATTACTGTTAGGTGGTGGTACATTTAAAGAAGATGTTTTTCCGAATATATTAATGCTAAAAAATTCTATACGTCAGGAATGGAGCAAATACGATGGCACAAATGGATACTGCATCGGAGTAGTATTGTCAAAACCAAAAAGTCGTGGTCGAATAACGTTATTGGCCAATGACGTTAATGCTAAACCAGAGATTGTGCTGAATTATTTCGACGATTCAGACGATATGAAAACGATGATTGCTGGCATTAGAACTGCGATACGTCTTGGTCAGACAAGACCGATGCAGGCACTTGATTCTCAGTTGTTAAACATTACTTATACTGAATGCAACAATCACGAATATGATTCGGATGCTTATTGGGAATGTGCGATAAGAACAATGACTTCCACAATTTATCATTTTTCTGGAACTTGCAAAATGGGAGCGAAGGGAGATCCAACCGCTGTAGTCGATCCTAAATTAAAGGTATTTCCTGGAAAAATTACTAAAGTATTCACAAGAAATAATAGGTATTCTAATGTGCAATTATATATTTTGATTTCTGAGTTCATATACAATATATTGCAGGTGATCGGTATTCAAGGATTACGTGTAGTAGATGCATCCATCATGCCAGAAATTACATCAGGGCACATAAGTATACCTATTTATATGATCGCCGAGAAAGCGGCGGATATGATCAAGAAAGAATGGGGTTACATGAAAAAGTAACGAGAAGATTACTTTTCATAAAGTAATAATACTATTTTGTTACTTTATTTACTTTTCGCTTACTTTATTCATTTTTGTAACGAGTTTTTATTATTTCCACAATTATAAAGTGATAGTAAAAAAGGAAAGAAAAAATGTAATTTGTAACAAACAAATAAAAAATTATATTATTAGTGAACAAGCACTCACATAGAAACGTCTTGAATTCTAATTGAACTTCAATGCTGTTTTATTTCTGCAATTCAAATTATTTGTATTACGTTTAATTTATATCTTGCATAATCAACGTCACGTAATAAGTGTTCCTTTATAACTTGATAAATGTAAAGTTTAATAACTATGAGAACAATATTATTAATTAAAAACAAATTAAATTATTAATTAATTTGACGGGACAGTTATATACGATTATAATAAAATAAGCTCCATATTATGCAATATAAAGTAAGAATTTTTGTATTATACAATATGAAATAAGTATTTCTTCAAAATTCATTAATTACCTTCAGAAAAATTTATTCTTGTAAATAAAATAATCTGTGTTTATTCAAAAGAATATGATATGCTGATTTATAATATTGCAGTATTGCAATATAAAACATACGTATTAGATGTTAAACAAATTTTTTTAACAGAAAAATATCTACACACTATATCTATGTAAATATAATCTTTAAAGATTTTGGATTATACTATATCATTCTGTTATCTGTTTCACACTATTTATTGGCGCTTATCTTATACAAAAAATATACAATTACATTGTTGAATACAATAATTATAATTTTTGATGCAAAATGGGTAGTAATATCAGTTTTTAAAATTATTCTTAATAACTTTATCAAATAAAATTTTTTTTTTTAATTAAATGATGACTTTTTCATCCCATCACTGCAAGCATGTATTACATTACGTCATATAAATCAAAGTCCACATTCTAAAATTGAATCTATAATTCTTATGAATTTTTCATATTAAATAGTTCATTTTACAATATTTTAAAAAATAAGTGTTCTGTTATCATATAAAATAAATGCAAGTAATAAATTCATCATTGGATGACCCTCCAAGATGGGATAAAAATTGATTAATGTAGATACAATCTATATATGACCGAACCACACTATGAAATACTCACAGAATGCTAACAAAAGCACAAGATTTCGCTCAATAGAAATTAAAAAGCATATTCTTTTGAGAACGCCAATGGACTTTGAAAATCCGATACAAAGACCAATTCGCAACGATGCGATAAATTATATACAATAGTCACAACAAATTAATAATTTAGAAGATTTAATAATGCAATATTATTAATAATAATATAAGATATTAAATAAAAAACTTGCAAAACATTCCTACCAAATATTTTTTTGTCTTAATTTGTATCATAAATATGTATGTATATATAATACATATATGTATACGATGATAAGACGGAATGTCTGTTACGGCATGGACAAGATATTAGTCTACAAAAACACATTTAAAAAAAAACTAAAAACATCCAATTAAATTTCAAATTAACATTCTACTACAGCAGCACGTTAACTGTTATATAAGGTATGAAGTTCAAAGTAGAAACCAGTATTCATGTTGAGCATTTAGATATTTCTTATATTATTGCATTTTATTCCAGATATTCAAAAGTTAATATTACAATTAAAATATGTTGAATAAGATTTGGAGTCTTCTTCACGTTCTCAGTATCGGTGCCATAATAAACTTGCTACATGGGCAGCCGTATTACAACAATCTTGACGGTAATGATAATAGCGGATCAAACTTGGTAAATCAGTTACTAAAATTCGCTAATGGAATTGAGAACTTCTACAAGCAGTACCAACATTACTTAGATCAAGAAATACCGGACATGACACCGCAATTCGGAGAAACGTATGATTTTATAGTGATCGGTGCTGGTACGGCCGGCGCAGTGATAGCCGCGAGACTAAGTGAGATTTCACAACTGAAAGTATTATTGATCGAAGCTGGTTCCCATGAAAACCTCTTTGTGGATACACCAATATTTGCTTTTTGGCTGCAGATGTTGAATGACATCCAATGGAAATACCAAACCAAGTCGTCTAATAAATATTGCCGTGGCATGAAAAACAATAGTTGTCCTTATCCAAGAGGAAAAATAGTCGGCGGCAGCAGTGTGTTAAATTTTATGATAGCTACTAGAGGCGGTGTTGAAGATTATGATCGATGGGCTGCGATGGGAAACGATGGCTGGGCATACAAGGACGTTCTTAAATATTTTAAAAAGTTGGAAACAATTGATATCCCGGGATTGACGTCGGATATTGATTATCATGGTACCGACGGACCAGTACATATTACTTATCCGATATTTCGTACCCCGTTGGCAAGGGCTTATCTAGAAGCAGGAAAAGAGCTACGATATCCGGTAATAGATTACAATGGGGAAAACGTAATAGGATTTTCTTATCCGCAAACTACTATCATGAACGGTACGCGCATGAGTAGCAATAGAGCGTATCTGCATCCAACGAACAATCGTAAAAATCTTCATATGACTCTTCAGAGCACGGTGACAAAAGTACTAATCGAACCTAGCACGAATCAAGCAATCGGCGTAGAGTTCGTTAAGTACAATCAAACTATACGTGTGTTCGCGAACAAAGAAGTGATTCTATGTGCAGGTGCTATTGGATCACCGCAATTGTTGATGCTATCCGGTATTGGACCAGCAAAACACCTAACTGAATTGAATATTAACGTCATCCACAACGCACCAGTTGGTGAGAACCTTATGGACCATCCAGCCTTTTTTGGATTGACGTGGACAATAAATAGTTCAATAGATATACAAGTACTTAATATGATGAACCCCATTAATTCATACGTGACAGAATATTTAATAAATCGGACCGGACCATTTACGATTCCGGGAACAATTGAGGCTCTCGGTTTTGTCAACACAGAAAATCCAGAAAAACATAACGATTTACCAGATATCGAATTACTTTTTCTCAGTGCAACAATGAAAGATATATTTTCACCAATGCTATTCAATTTGAAGAACTCAGTACATCAGGAATGGCTCAAGTACCGTAACATCAATGGCTGGACCGTTGTACCAATATTGTTGAAGCCAAAAAGTCGTGGTAGATTAACGTTGTTAGCTAATGACGTTAATATTAAACCAGAAATCGTACCGAACTATTTTGATAATCCAGATGACGTCAGGACAATGATAGCCGGCATTAGAACTGCGTTAACAGTTGGTCGAACAAAGGCAATGCGTGCGTTCGATTCTCAATTATTAAATATTACTTACATGGAATGCAAAAACCACAAGTATGATTCCGATGCTTATTGGGAATGCATGATAAGGCTGTTATCTTCCACACTCTATCACGCTTCCGGCACTTGTAAAATGGGATCTCGTGAAGATCCGACTGCAGTCGTCGATCCCAAATTAAAGGTATTTTTTTAAGGAAACGCACAAGAATATTTAAGCAAAATATAATAAATAGTATGACATATGTTTTTATTAGTTAATTCATATATAGTATTTTGTATAGGTAATCGGTGTTCAGGGATTACGAGTAGTAGATGCATCTATCATGCCCGAAATTATATCAGCGCATACAAATATACCTGTTTATATGATTGCCGAGAAAGCCGCAGATTTGATCAAAGAAGAATGGGGTTACTTGGAAAAATAGCAATAGTAATAAGCTTTTATGAGAGAAATAATACATTATTTTATTATATTTTTAATAACCTACCAAATAGAGAATTTTGCTCTGGTGACCTTGACGTATGTTGTCAACGTTATGACCCTGAGTAATCTTCAGAAAGTTATCGCTCATCCTTTGTTAAAACGATATTAACAAAAAAAGATAACAAAAAGAAACTTAATGGAGGGAAAAGTCGAAGCGGATAGTATGGGCGCAGGCCTGGAGGGGCGGCCCCTCCTCGCGCCTATCACACAACTAATATCTATTGTAGAAATAGAAATCAATTCTGTAATGATGTGCCGTATTAAAACAACATATTAATGCTTTATCTTATCTTGCGTAAGGGTCTCGCTAATCTTTTTGGTATTTATTATATTTAGTGTATTGTAGATTTATTCATTTACTAAGGCGAAAATTTAATATACCTTATCCTACCTTGCTTAGGGGTCTGTCAGTGGGCATGCAAAGTATCGGAAAATCATAATCCCGTAACCGTAAATTAAGAACTGAAACAATGTCCTGAAATGTCATAATACCGAAAACTAACAATAAGAACAGAGACAATTTCCCAAAATTTTATAAAACCAAAATGTCATAATACAGAAAACTAGAAACTGAGACAATGTCCCAAAAAGACATAATACCAAAATCGAGAAACTGAGACAATATCTCGAAAAGTTATAATTGCAAAAATTAATTCATCAATATAATATCGTAAATTTTAAATTTCTTAAAATGTTGTTTTGAAATTGTACAAGTAAATCGCTATATCACACGATGTAAGAATAATTCTCTTGTAGAAAAACTATCAGTCGATGTATAGATTATGTATATCTTATTAAATAATACTAAATTGTAAATATTATTATATTCTTTTATATTAAAAGATTATAAATTACACACACACACGCACACGCACACGCACACGCACGCACACGCACACGCATGCACACACATACACACACACACACACACACACACACGATATCTAGAAGAATTTACTATGCACGCTAGTACGTGAAATGCATATCTTTATTTTATTGGGAAGATAATAATTTTTATAATTATTTCTTTAATATAATATGACAATCTAATGTGATTACCTAACAAACTGTTAAATTATTATATATTAGAAGAACGTCAGAAGAAATGTTAAAAAATATACGAATAAAATATACACATGGAACACGAAACAATAAAACACCAATATAAAAAAATATAATATTCACAATTTAAAAATTATTTAATAAGATATACATAAAATCTATACATCGATTGTTCCTTTTTCTACAAGAGAATTATTCTTAAATCGTGATGTAGTGATTTACTTGCACAATTTTAAAACAATATTTTAAGAAATTTATATCTTTTTATTATTATTTTAATGTATTAAGTTTTGCAATTATAACTTTTCGGGATATTGTCTCAGTTTTCGGTGTTATAACATTTCGAGCGATTGTCTTATAATTAATTCTTATTATTCGGTATTCTGACGTTTCGGGATATTATCTCAGTTCTTAGTTTTCGGTACTTTTTTTTCGATACATTGCATGCATGTCCATCGGCCTGTCTAATCTTTCTGCTACTATTTTTAGTATATTGTAGACACATCCATTTAGTAAGGAGAAAATTTAATAGATATACTTATAAGTATTTTTTCATTATTTTTGCGAAACGACGTCTTTAATTGTACTGTTCCTCATTGAGTGTTTATTATTAATAATTTTTTAACAAAGGACAAGCGACGGCTATTACAATTTTTTGAAAATCATTCAGAGTCATAATCTTAACAATATATGTCAAAGTTAAGCTCATCGAAGCGGGGTCCCCTATTCGGCAGTTTTATCTCTATTTCAACATGACATTTTCCAATAGCTTCACTTTTTTTAACCTACGTTATGCATGTAACATCTAGTAAAATTTATTATATTACGACATAGAGGGAATACTAGCATATAAAACTAGATATAAAGAGAAACAAAAATATTCCAAATAAGTTTTTACAAATCTCGACGATGGTCACGTGTTACAGTAACTGCTATGAAAGATATCGATTGAAAAATACAAGACAGATATCAGGGTTGGATAAGTTAGTTTTATTCTAACGACACAGTTATATGTAATTATTAACATAAGCTTCATATTATGCCATATGAAGTAAGCAATTTTGTATTATGCAACACAAAATAAATATTTAAAAAAAAAATCATTAATTACCATTAGAAAAATTTATTTTTGTAAATAGAATAATCTTATTTATTTTATTAACTAAAAAAATATAATATGCTGATTTATAATACTGCAATATAAAAACTTCGTACTAAATATTCAAAAAAGATTTTTACGTCATATGAATCAAAGTCCACATTCTAAAATTGAATTTCAACTAAATTAAGCTTCAAATTATGAATTTTTCATGTTATATAGTTCAATTTACAATATTTTAAGAAATAATTATTTTGCCGTCATATAAAAAAATGCAAGTAATAAATTCATTATTGGATGACCCTGCAAGATGGAATAGAAATAGGTCAATATATAGGTAGATATAATCTATACATGACTATGGAATGCTAACAAAAGCTCAAGATTTCGCTCAATAAAAATTAAAAGGTATTCTTTTGAGAACGCAGTATGTCATTTAATTGAAAGTCCGACAAAGACCAATTCGCCAACAATGTTCCACGAGGTAAATTATACATAATAGTCACAACAATGACTTAGAAAACTTAATGATGTAAGATTTAGAGGTGTGCAAATAATTCGAATTCGAATCAAATCAAATCACAGTAGATTTGATTCGAGGTTGTTTTCGAATCTACAAGATTCGAAAACAAATATTTCGAGAATTTCGAATCAACAATTGTTCGATTTTGAATCCATCGCCTATTTTATTTGTTTCATTTGCATTTCCCGCGCGACCAATTATTCTTATCTAATAAATAAGTATTTTTGATATATGTAATGTATTCATATAGATTAATAAAATATTCGAAAGCATTGTAACTATTCGTGTATACACATATTATTAATATTTTCAAGTTTAAAATGTCACATAAGATCATGA